TTGAAATAAGTAGGGTTGCTTATGCAAGCTTGTGAACATTTGGGCTTAAAACTATTATAGCTCCCCACAATGATAAGTGAAATTTTGTACAAAACCACTGGTTATAATAGCAAGTAAAATCTGTTACAAATTGTGGAATAGATAAAAAATGGTCGTAAACTTTATTTGAACCAATTTCAAATTTAAGTTGTCCCAAGGCAAATTTCTGACAACGGCATTGTACATAAGGTACAATAAATATTGTCAAGAAGAATATAAAATTAAGTAAATTTTTAAAGATTGACAAACACAAAAGCTGAAAACAATGTAATCGTTGTATTCATATTTATTGAATTCGATCTCAACATTGATGAATTTAGAATTAAATTTATACATATTTATTCAGAAGCATCTAAGTTAAATAAAGTTACACAAAATTCCAGCGCACGAACACACACCCACCCACCCACCCACACACACACACACACACACACACACACACACACACAAACACACATATATATATATATAATTAGGGTCATATATGTGTGTACATATATATTTTTGTATTATATACAAATTTAAAAATATATACCAAACATACATATATAGATCACATGATTGAAAGCACACATAAAGACTTATATAAACTCTCGTGTGCTATAACAATACATGTTATATGTATACTATTATTATATTTATATGTATATATATATAAAGGCTGGAAGGAGACCAAAATCGATGCAATATATGATTAAATCTACCGAATTTTTAGCTTTTAAATGTATTACGGCTGAGCTTTTCAATATTTCTAACAGTAATTTTACAATTATTGGATTGCATTTTTGGATGCGCTAATCACTCGAGATGAAAACTGCTTTAAAAAACTGTCTATGGAAAAGAAACAAACAAAAGGAAATGTTTACATGGAATAAGTGAGCGCACGGAGAAATAAAAACGCAACACAATTAAAGCATTTGTAAATAGAGCATTCACACACTCTATTTCAATAAGCGACCGTGGGGCAGAACCAATTGGAATCACCAGAGTAATAGTCAACAACAACTACAAAACAGCGGCTATCCAAGATGTCATCAACCGTAAACTACAACATTTCAATAATAACAACAACATACAATGCGAGAATTAAATTTTATACTACAGAAACTACATGTTATCTGCAATGAAAACATATGAATCTGTTCTAAGGAAACCTATATTCAAAAACGCGAAGCCTAGAAATACAGACGATAGAGTAAATCAGAGATTTTATTATCAAAATGCAAAAAACAGCAAACCTGATTGTAAAGAATTCAACCCTGGAAAGAAATCACCTGATATGTGTTAAAATGTCCTCTTGACGGATGCACTTGTCAGCAACACTCATATATTGGGATAGACAACTACATCCGTATCACGTCGCCTTACTAATTACAAAAAAGAAAGAGCCAGTAAAACTCAACTGGAAAGCATACATCAAACGATCCTATCACGAGTGATATTAGTAAACAATACTAGTATAATATACGGTAACAAGAACCGTATCATCTAAGAATTGCCAAAGCGATCTTTAGTGAGCAAAGAAAACCGCAAATTAACAAGCAGCAAAGAATAGCACCTTCATTACCATCAGAAGAATATCATTGAAAGACTTTACAAGCCAAGAGAATTAACAGAATAAAAATATAAAAAACAGACAGGACCAAGATATAATAAACGGACAGGACAAAGCAGAATAAAAGCACTTTGCATCGCAGAGAATTGTAAAACCTTGAAATATCCCTATATAAGATGATGAGTAAAATCGAAATAGGTCCTATACACTTTATCACGAACACTAATGATTTTCTTATTAATTTCAATAAATTGAATAATAATTATAAAATTACAGTTATGAATATTGAAAAGCTCAAACTTTCAAATGCTAAAAATTCGGTGGATTTTATCATATATATATATATATATATATATATATATATATATATATATATATATATATATATATATATGATATAAGTACATTTGAATTATATCCAACCTATATAATGTGATGACTGTTGCATGGATATTCGAATACATAATAAGTAGTTACGACGAGATATATATATTTATTTTGTATGCATGTGCCGATCATCAATACATTGGATGATAAAATAATTTGAACGTTCATCGTTCCAATGTCTGATGAATCTTTGAAAATGATATCACTGAACTCATTTAATTATTTTAGAAACTGTTAATCAAATTTTTTAAACCAAAATTAAACAGTACATTAGTTTCGAATCATTTCATAAAAATGTGCATATCTTAAAATCACCATTATAATTCGAGCCATGCAATTTAATCTGAACTAAAAGCATTCAATTGTGAATTCTTTCCTATTATATACACACATTGAATTGTTTTTTGTTTAACATTGTTATGGTGCACAAAAAAAATAAATAATCAAATTAAAATATCAGCAATTTATAAAAAAAAATCTAATTGACGTTACATGATAAAATAGACACATTCATTGAAATGTTGTTGACAAATAAATCTTCATAACCAACCAACATGAATGTTGAATGTTTTAAGAGTCTCTTCTAAATTAGGATGCAACAGACTTTACATTTTATAAAAGATAAAATGATTGAACTAAGGTCAAAGATCGAACCAACGAATGAAAATTATGGATGAATAAGAATAAAATGAATGACCACCATCACAAATATTGTAATGATTCAATGACTAACACACTTGGATAGGTATATATAGATATATATGAATTAACATTAAAAACTTGTCACTGTATAAACTACAAAAAGTCGGCATAAGAGCAAATCAATTAAAAAGCTTAAAATCAAAAAAATTATGACGACGTTCAACTTAGTCAACCATTACCATACATGGGACGATTTATGAAATGAAAAAATACATTGCAAAGATGGACATCCTGTACTATGATTTCAATATAATGATAACAGTGTAGATACATGATCGATACAAATAAACATGAGGTGACAAGAACAATGTATACTTAACCTATATAAATAAACCAATGCTTGCATTAATATATGAAATATGCTACATAATAATTCTTGTATAGTATAAATTAACTTGTAATAAACAAATCATATAAAGGTATGTACAGTGAATATGGATTTGTTTGGTAATTATTATTAAACAAAATTTATATGACGTGAATACACACTTAAATATATATGCATGCCTGTAATTAAACATCTAATCATTAAAATATACACTAAAAAAATAAAAAGCAATGGAAGAAAATGATAAATATGAATGTGCAAGCAGAGAGCTGGTGCACTGGACTAGAAGGTTAGTAACTTCTCTATTCATTCATACATTCAATAAAGCTAGTAAACAGCTGTATTAGTTATTAAAGCTATTGACCGATCGATCGATCATTCATTCGTTCATCCATCCATTCATTCATTCATTCATCCAATCAATCGATCGATCGATCAATAAAGTTCATTAAATCATTCATCTGACAGTTGTTTATCAAAATCACACACATGTCACTGCAACTCCTCAAATGGCTGTTCGTTATTACGTCATTGAGTTATTACATACATCATAAATTTCATGACAAACACATGGACGCACGCATACACACCCAAACACACACACAATTTATATATGTATAAATATATGATATATATATATATATTCTTACATATAAAAGTTGGACAAAGTAAAAATACGGAAAAAAATTTTCTTGACTAAAGAAGGTTTAAAGACAATTGTATAAACAGTAAAACCTAACTTAACATGGTAAAGTAATTAGTAGTTGACACTTGTATTGATACGCGTGGCGATGAGAACTGAATAAGAATCTAATATTTCCTGTTTCACACGCACACGCACGCACATACATAAGCACGCACATACATACGCACGCACACACACAATGCAGCAGCGAGAATGCGGATTGTTGTTGCTTTGGTTGGTCTGATGGCTCCAATTTGACAGTTTCACATAGATTAAATGAAAAGTTTTATTGCGGTACATTCTCGGTGTGAATTAATTTTCATGACACCATCATGTTGGGAGTCGCGAGAACCTTCTAATGTGAACTTTTGTGGAAATCAATCAAACAAGAAATAAAAACTGATGCAAGACAAATGCCTGCCTGCCTGCAATGATGCGACCTGCTAAGTTGTCCACGAGAATTAAACAAAATGGAAAAATGAAAAATTTGTTGGTTTTGGCAAAATCCATCATATTGTTCACCCTATGTTTAAAAAGATAAACTATATCAATAATAAATGATTAAATATTGTATATACATACATATACATACACACTTAAGCACACACATACACACACCTAAGCAGCCATAAACACACACGCACGCACACGAGAAATGAAAAATATTGACAATTTATTTGTTGGCCATTAACAGACTGAAATAATTCAGAGCGTCATTTAAAAATATCTTCATGTAAGAAAGAATCAAATAAATTTTGAACCGTCCATCTCATGCAAAATAACTGAAAAGTAAAAACAAGTGAGACATCTCTGCCAGTGTTATATTGTCTTTAAATAAAATTTATCCACAAATGATCGTGATTTTCATTATATCAAAAAAATTGTAAATTTTATAAAATAAATTTTCACACAATTTTAAACTTTAAAAATTTTCGCATATTTATAATTGAAAAGCAAAATTGAAGTAACGAACAAAGAAACAAATAGCAACATGAACAGAGAAAGTTTACAGGCGGTTAGCAGATCAAACATAACAAAAACATAATACACACACACACATACACACACACACACACACTCACACACACACACACACACACACACATATATATACATTGTACAAGTGAAATAGATGATGAATGTATGGAGAAGGTATTGATTTATCATTTCTTAAACATCAAAAAACATTTACATCAAGCCATTTAATTCCCCATTCACCCACGACATCAATTACATTAAAAAAGATAGGAAAATTTTGTAAAAGAAAATATGGAAATCAGTAAATTAGAAATGAATGAAAAATTTCAGCTCTTGTCGCGTATTTGAACGTAGGTGGTTGGCACGAAGCCTTCCTCAGAGTTGTTCAGTCTGCGGACTCTCATCCAGCCATCTCCCTGATCAAACTCCATAATTTGGAACACCTCGCCATCTTCCATTGATATGGAGCCTTCACTCGGCGCTTGTATGTATGTGCACAAACATTCAAACTTAAACTAGGAATCAATTTCAAACGCATATAAACAATCAACAACTTTAGCACTTTAATTCAATCAGCTAGAAAGTATAAAATTGAAACGAAACAGCAAAAAGTTGGATGAATTCAGATTATCAGTAAAACATTAATTAAAAATCTTCAGACTCTGTAGATGAAGCCTCACCTGTAAATGGATAAATAGCGACGCAGTTTCCCTGTGGTTTCTGGTCAATATCATCGTAGTTGTCGTCATCATCGTCAATGTCATCGAAGCTATCCTGATCTAACGTGCTCGACTGGCAGGATTCTCTGACGTTGTTGCTTTCATTTTTTTTGCTTCTGCTGTTACTGCATGTAATCGTGGTCAGTGATGTCCCGGAAATACTGTTGTTCCTTAATGCACTGTTTCTGCTGCTGGGTGAGGGTTGTAATACTCATTTCAGTAACTCAGCATTTATAGTTTGAAATCAATTGCTACGTTCAATTAGTTACTACAATTAGTAACTATCAATTATATTAATTCGTGCAATTATTATTAATGAATAACTGAAGAAACATTCTCTTTAGTTTCAACAATGGCGAGCACTGACCTGTTGTTGGAGCCGACCATCGGCGACCCGTGCAAACTGTTGTTCAACCTCAACTTCGGGTCACTCGCCACAACTCCATTCTCAGCATCTCTCAGATAATTCTACATGAAAAAATGAGCACGTGCTTCAAGCAACTGCAGGCAAGTCATATCTCATTAAAAACTTTATTCAATGCAAATTATCAAAGGTTTGAAAAATTATAGCCAATCAAGGAGCTAAAAAGTTAAAAGTGACAATAAAATCATTTATTTGCTCTCAGCTGCTGATACCATATTTATTTAGCTTACTTATATTTAGGTATTGAGCTTTTATCAACATCGCAAACATAAGTAAAAAAAAAACAAACAACACAAGCCTAAGATTATAACCTCAAATTTCTGAAGCTCAACTCTCAACCTGTCCAATTTCTGACCATTTTCTTCAAGTTGTTTAGAAACGGTGTGAGGGTCACCGAGAGCAGTGTTCTGCTTGTACACATCCTGCATCTTCAGCATGCCATCTCTGTGTAGTTAGTATAAAACGTTCAACAATGCCTGCCTACAGAAATATTCAACAGCGTAAAATAAGACAACGATAAAAATGGAGCACGAATTAACATTGCCTGAGAATCAGCTAATAATGCAATATTGTTACTGCATGTGTTCTGTTATTTGAGAGAAAGGAAATGCAAAATATATAATATATATATGTCCAAGTTTTGTTGTTTAGGAGCGTAAATATAACAAGCCTCCAGTCTGTCATGCAAGTTATATAAGTATGAATAATAATATCCTGTCAATGTTTAATATAGATGATCATCAGTTACTCTGGAAACAGCCAACATTATTCAGAAATCACCTCTCTAAATACATCTAATGCATCATTGCCTACATCAGTGCAACAACACTAAAACTTACAAACAACTTACCTCTCAGCAGTTTCCTTGGCAATAGAACTTTTGATGCTGTTGATTCGTTGACTTAACTTTTTTTTCTGCTGGTTTGGTGGTAGATGGCTGTAATCTTCTTTGATTTCATCAGTCTTTAAACAACAAAAGTGACTATCAACATTAATTTCATTTTAGCTTAATTTAAACGAAACAACCTTTTCATTTAAGTATGCATTATGCAATGAGTGCTTGTGTACAAAATATGTCAATGAAAATTATTTATTATTAATTTATTTAATAAATTCCTCTATTGAGTATCTTCCAGATACATCAACAACCAACACAAAAAGCATGCAAATACAAGTGAAACATCGCATCACACACATTGAACGTGATGGACGGAGATTACTTTGCAACCGAATCTGGTCACTGCAATATCAGTGCCAGGCACTTTACCGTAACACCATAGTGCTGCCCATCGAAAATTGATCACAATGTACTGATATATATACATTTGAGGTTAGGTCAACTTTTAATAAGCTTATCCAAAAACAGCATAGGGACAACCTACAGATTACGCATTAGGGTGAGATTTTGCACTTATCCAAAGATGCATGCAAACATCATACAATATCTGTGTACAGACAAATTAGAAAAAATTAGCTGAAATCAATGTTGATGGTGGTACAATGTATTTTAAGAAGCTACAAAAATTAAGGAAAGTAGCAAGAATCAAAAAAATCTGCAATCAACGTAATATTCCATAAAAATTTAATGATTTTAAAAGCAGTGCAGTACGAGTTTTTTATCACAATCCCAAATAAATTAGGAAAAAAACTAATTTTACAAATTTATTGACACTATGAAATTAATTTTCAACAATCCATAAAAAATTAACAATATAAGCGCAAAAATAGAAACAATTCAGAATGTAAACCATCAAATCGTTAGTGCTGTAAAAAATAAAAAACAATTTTTTTACAAGTACGGCTTTTGTTGCTTCATTCAAAAATTAGTAAGAAATGACTAATTAGCTTCATTCAACACAGAACAGAAACTACAACAATTTCCCATTCCTTCTGTAAATATCGAAAGCAAAATAATAAAAATTTTTAACTCATAAGGAAGCACCAATGCCAAGCAATACACCATCAGGACTTACTAAAATTCCAACTATCTAAAGGAGAGATGAATCAATTTATTTAGTAGATGCAATCAAAATGCAGTTAACAAATTGAAATAACAAAAACATTTCGTAAATTCCTGCCCTGATGTGAAATTAATACCATTAAAAATTTCTAAGCTTTCTAACAATTTTTCATTGCTTTTAATAGTTTAATAAAAAAAATTAAAAGATTGAAAATCAAATTAATATTGAACTTTTATTTTTTATTGCATAAAATAATAAGTGAATCTTGCTTCACATCAAACAACACACGATGGCTGTTCTAAAAAATTCCAGATTAACAATGTTCAACAAGCAGATATTGCTACAAAAACACTTGAAAACTTAAATATTTAATTCTTTCATCAAAGGTAAAATATCTACGAACAATAAACTAATAAACCCGAAAGAGAATGCATAAAAAACAATGAATATCATCTTATGAAAGACCTTTGAACTGGAGAAAATATTGAGCAGACGTGTTTTCCTCTTGCTTCTCATCGAGCCAGAGAAGGAACTCCTGACAATATCCATGCGATTGGAGGAGCCATGCTGTGATGCAGAGTTGGATGCAGAGGACTGAGGTGTGGATGCGTTTATGCGCTCCACAGATGTTTGAGGGTTGCTGAGATCTTCAAAGAATATGTCTTCAGGAGGTTCAAAACCAGATTTGTACTTGTCAATCACCAATTGTGAGTCCTGAAGAATGAAATTGAATGCAATGAATGGTTCTTCCCTAATAACACAGAGCAACATCACTGTCAAATTTACTTACAACGTAAATTTAAAAAATATCTGGATATGCATAACAAGAATCACGATTTATTGATGAAATGATAGCTGAGGAAATGAACAGGCCAGGATTGCAGGACTTTGGTTTTTTCTATTTGTGCAAGATGCGATTGGAAGACAAGAAGGATGCTGACTTTTAATAGCTCAGGTATGAGATGCATTGATTGAAATGCACGAGATGTGTACCTTGTGTTTGTTATGTTTATGGAGATCTCCAAATATATATGAAAATATGAAAAAATCAGAAAAAAGTGTTATAAAAGAAATTTAAAAAACAACGAAAAATGGAATTACTGATTTTTCAAAAAACAGGTTAAGACTCACTATTAACTCATAAGGGAACCAAATAATTATCAATTAAAAAACTCAAATAAGATTCCACAGTTAACTAAAGACCACATGTGACAAATCACCTCAATTATTTGGAGTGGAGATATGAAGTAAAATAATATGTTAATTGAGAAATCACGCAACGAACCACAGCAAAAGAAACAGACTCAGCAGCCTTGACCATTCCAACGATGCAGGTGTTGATGATGGGCATGACCTCCTTCTCAATAGTGGCACAACTCATCAGCAACTCCTGAACTTTCAACACCCTTCTCTCCTCCATCTCCTGAATTTGCTGTCACCAGAAAATCAAATTTGTTACTGTTAATATAATTTTTTACCACAGATTTGACAGAAACAAAATTGTTTTCAATTAAACTGCAGCATACATAATTTGTTTCTCTTAGACAAATAAATTAGCAAAATTTTTCGAAAAAAAATTACAAGGATAATTTTATGGTCATCATCAATCTATGGCATGATTTCGACTAAAATACAAAACACAACCAACATTATACCACACCACAACATAATCCTCAGATGACGTGCGTCATAATCAATCCAGTCAGCTAGGATTAGAGCCATGAACTACCAATGGTTATTAAACCTAATTTCATAAAATTTTAGTCAGCTGACTTTGGTTTGCTCAGCCTCATCCCTCAAGCATCCAACCAACGACATCGATAAGATCAATAAGATCTGCTACCCACTTCAAATATCAGTGGCATGTGATGGTGAAAATGCTGCCTTTGAAATTCATTTGTCTTCTGAAGTTCCGCAGCATATTCATTCTTGCAATCTTCAGATACCTGTTGCTTCTGTACCATGTTGTTGTAGGCCTGACATCCAAAATACCACGTGACTATTAAATTAATTTATAAACATTAATGAACATGAAAAATATTTCAATCTAAGAAAGGAAAGTAGAATGAATCTGAAAATAAATTTAAAAACTGAAAACTTACCAAAGATAATAAATATTAGATTGATAACAACAGTGAAAATAAATAAAAGACCATTGTGCAGTTGTTTCAAAGGTGCCTGTTTGCATGACCCAATCAATTTGCATATCATTATTTTATTAATATAAATATTAACTCTTATTAATAAAAAAAACTATAATAAATATAATTAGATAATTATTTTAATAATAATAATAATGATATAGTAACAATATATTATTATTTGTAGCATTGGTAGTACTTTTATTATCATAATCATTTAATATAAACCTTTTCATTATTATTACAATATTATAATAATCATTAATATTATACCACTGACCTTTTCCACATCAGCTCTGGACATGTGTTTGTCGGCATCAGCCTTCTTGTGGGCCTCCTGGGCCTTCTCTGCCTCCCTAAATGACTTCTCATACTGCTTCTTCGTCTGAGGTCATAGCAGTCACAAGATGAAAAAGTTGATGATGATGGATAGATAGATAGATAGATAGATAGATAGATAGATAGATAGATAGATAGATAGATAGATAGATAAGTTAATGAAAATATCAAATGTTTATTCTAGGACAAGTAACAAAGTAATTATTATCTGCAAACATGAACTTACTATTTCAATCTTTAAATAAACTAATCCTTTCATACATTTTCATTCAATTTTATTGAACAAGAACTACAGAGATAAAATAACCTTTACAATATCATTAACAATATTTATTCTTGTATTATTTATTGCAATTGTTAACAACCCGAAGCAACCTACCTTATCAAGTAGTTGTAGTTGGTTTTGTAACGACGCTTGCTGCTTCTGGCCAGCAATCAGGTGCTACATAATAAATTTAAACATTGTTAAACATGACTGTTACGTGCACTGCATAAATAAAGGCAAAAATACATATTAAACATTAAAAGTAATAAATGCTGCAATAATTTTTTCCGCATTAGAACATTATAAACCAGTTTAAGAACCAGATCTCGCTGCAAATGAAATTTTTGTTAAAAATGAAAATGAAATATGTACATTACATCAGGCAGTAAAAATCCCATCATCAGTTTGGTTAATGTTTATTTTATAAACACAAGAGTTCACTCCATCAAACGTTTACTCAATACTATCATCCCTAACCGTTATCATCCATTAAGAGCATTTACATCACCCATCAAACATTAGCATGAAATCACCATAAAACATGAATAGTGAGAAACTTTTGAAAACCAATACAGATTGAAACAAGAGTGATATGTCATCAAATGAGAACACATCCAAAAAAAACAATTGCGTTGTATAAACAGCAAAGAAGCAACATCAACAACATCAATAACGATGATGACATCATAAATATACCTTTTTCCTCTCTTGTTTAATTTGTTGCACCAGGGCTTGTAAATCTTTGATGGTGATGTTGATGAGGTTGTCTGCGATCATTTCGTGCTGGCCTGCAATGTCGTGCACCTCTGTTATCATACAACAGAACCCCTTCAAACTGGTCCACCTGGTAGGGAGATGTTAGTACTCAACAATCACGCCATCAGTTCTGAGAACTACCAGGAGAAAACCATTGGTGACACATTAACCAACAAATATTAATATTCATATTAATAATATAATTTAAAATAATTCAATGTGACAGTAAAAGATATTATTCAAACATTGCAACTAATATCAAGTGCCCATTTATCAGAGATCAAAGCTTAATCAAACACTGTTCACTGTCCTACTTAGTCTGAAGAAAAAACACCACAATTATTATTAATGTTCTTTATCATGATAAAAACAGAAAATAATTCACAGAGACGTAAACTATTTACATTTTTATAATTAGAAACACTATAGCACTGCGTAAAAATATTAAAAATATCGATAAAAATATTTCAAAATTTGCGTATAGACAACGATTAAAAGCATCCTTAACGGCATAAAAATCAAGACTTTCCTAGCTCAAATATAACAAAATTCAGATTTTTGCTTCACAAATAGCTCCAACCTCAGACCTATAACGATTTTGTTGAATTTTACATATTACAAACAATGTTCACCATTAGTATAGGCCAGTTATATTATTCATCCGGGGCATCATCGAAACCAGGTAGTTACTCTAGGATTACTTACCCAATTTCAAACTCGCTACATGTACAATTCCTTTCCTTAACCATTAATATTGAACTCATAATATTGAACTCATTAAGATCAGGCTGATGTTCTACACATAAAAGGATGCCAACAAGCTGCGTGAACGTCTTCATCGCCAAACAAGTGGAAGCGCAAATACAGAAGCAATGTAAAAAACATTCAGAATTTTCTTTACTATTATATTCATTACCACTGCAATTCTCACCATCATCATCATCAGCATCAGCATTATCATTACATTACAACTATAGTGAATCTATCATAATCATCATCAGCGTCATCATTAACATCAATGTAATGTTTATGTAACGTCAAATTATTTTATTTTTCACACAGCTTCGAGCAATGAACCATGTTGCATATGCATCCAGACATGTTATCCATTGGAAACCAATACAAACAGGCAGCTTGTAGTGATTCAGATTCAGCATACAATAAAAAAATTTAATTCATACAACGCAATTTCATTCATACAATCTGTGCAAAGTTCCCAACGATATAAATAATTTTATTACTCATCACCATCATCATCGTAACCATCATCACAAAGATTCTGTGAATATGATAAAAAAATATCACTGCATGAACAGGAAACACATTCGCACAGACATCCATAAGCACACGAACACACATACACATGTGAGAAACGTGTGTTTCTTCCTAGCATATCATCACTAATTGATGCATGTAAGCTATATTATTATATTATTCCTATCATATCAGAGAATCTTTCAGGATGAATGTTCATGTGTGTGTGTGTGTGTGTGTGTGTGTGTGTGTGTGTAAAAATTAAGTAAGTAACATCATGGATATATATAATTACGTAATATAATACTATTAACCAATATATTATTATATAATATCATGCAGTAAAATGCAAGTGACAATAAAATTAAAGAATTAATGAAATAGAGACAGAAGCAATCAAAACAATTAAAGCTGGTAATTTGTCAAAGTATATATATATATATTTGTAAGCACTCTTCAATTTAAATTGATATTTAAAATGTAAAATCACACAGGCTGTGTAAAAGAAATGAAAAATTACATCAAAATAATGCTCAACAAACAAACTCATGACCAAGTGTAGACATTATCCAGCATGCAATATAATACACTCCTTAACAGCGTGCAATATAATGGACTCCTTAATAGAATAATAACACTAGGCTATTCAGATGTTTTGTCTGTATAAAAGTTTAATAATATTATTTTTCTTGTGCATGCTAACAAAGTATTTATGTTGAGTAAAGATGTGTGTTCTGCGCGCGCGCGTGTGTGTTTGAGTAACTTAATAGCCACACAGTGCTGAACCAACTAATTGAGAGTTTAATGTCATGGTACCTAGTATGTCACTCATGCAATTCTAATGATAACATGTTCTTGCAAGACACAAACATAAGCATACATACATGCACATATACTATGTACATGTACATGTGTGTGTATATTTTTTTCTTGGTATCAATAATTACTGTCTCATGTACTACAGGCTTCATAATCTAATTCCAGATCACAGGCTCTGTAATATTATCCACACCAAAATAAACAGCTCATTAAATTTCTTATCAATGAATCAAAAATCACATTGAATAATATTGAAATATATAAAATAATGTAATTTCTATTTCCTATTGCTCACGTTATAAATGTTTGGGTCAGTTTACCTTTACAGACTTCATTAATAATCTATCAAATATCATTTCAAAGATAAGTATAAATATTTGAAGGATGAATGAAAAACGTATGTAATAACGTATCAATGTAGATATAATAACCAACACGTTAAAAAATACGTTAAGTGTTATCATCTGGACAACAACTACCTCACAGTATTTCAAACTGAAGTCTTGTCACATCTATCTAACTCAATGTTACCTCAGGTTACAAACATAGAGCCCAATTGAACAATGTTTTCGGTGATAATTATTATTATCATAGGTATAAAAATACACAGCATACTGATCGTGACACAGCATTTTATTCTACTAACACTCACTCCTCAAGTTATGCAACTAAACAATTCATCTGCTCAAACATGTACCTCACTGTTTATTGATACTTTGAATGAAACCAGCCTAGTAAAAATGGTACATTGAATGAAACAAGCCTAGCGAAGACTCTTGAACTGTTAAAAAATAGTCACAAAGCGTTGATCTGGATAGAGTGTTACACCATACTTAAACAAATGATGACTCTAATGAGAGTTGCAGAGACGGTATTCAACAGCAAAGATACACCTTGTCATCTAGTCATCTATCTCTATCATGTATCTGCCTATTTTAAGGGTTGTTTTCAGAGTAAGTGCACCTTTATGCTATGTTTCTGTCTATAGCTGATTACCAAATGTTGTCGTGCTATATAACGGACATTCATAACACTTTTTCCATTTTAAAAATAACGTTTTACAGTTATAATTTTTAAGTTTTCGAGACTGTTGGAAATGAATAATTACAGTGAAAACTAAAATGCAGGACTTTATTGTTAGCTAGTAAAAAGAATAAAATGCAGAAATAAAAAAAACAAATCATTGCATCAATAATCAAAAAATAATAACAAGGTAAATAACAGCAAAATAATAAAATGAAAAACAAAACAGGGACTAACTCTGCGTCATCTTCTTTCTTTTTAGGCTGAAAGTTCTTAACAAGTTTTCTGCAATGGTGGGAAAATATTTGTTTATTCATTCATTTTAATTAAACAAACCTTGCAAATTAATGAGAAAATTGTAACAACTACCGAACCATTGTGTGAATGACTTGCAACAACAATGAATTAAAAACTGGCCGTGATATCAAAGGTGTAAATACACCACAAGAATAGAACAAGGCTAGTAACAGTCACAACGAATATTAATAGAAAAATGGAAGTAGAAAATAAAATAAAATTTCAGTTTAACTGTTTGACATACAAATCGTTTCTGAGAATGGCTACACTGTCAAAATACAGTACAAAATATTTGTCTTAAGTAACCAAATCGAAAGTATAAAAAGTATAAAGCAAGAAGCAGCCTGCTTCATCACAGGCATCATTACATAATTCAGAACAGACCACGAAGCATTACATAATGCTGCTATGATAATACTTTGGATTTGTTTGTATTATAATGCAATGAATAGTCCAAACAATTTAACATAATTACGTTTTAATGAGTCTATGCAAACTTTCCTGGTTCTTATTACATAAAGCAAAATGAATCAATTTAAGTAATTTAATTTCAAATATTACAATGACAATAAAGAGATTGGGTGGGTATAATTAATATCCTTGAGTTCAATGAATTTTCCAAGTTACTTGGAATACTCTATCATGAGATTAAAATATTGATGCTCCAATCTTCAGAAAAAAAAGGTGAATTTCAATCTGCAAGATATTTTCTATATTTGTGTGACCAATTGAAAAAATGTATAATGATATGATTTCCTTATTAAATAGTTTCAATAACAGAACACTTTAACCCCTTCAAAATACTTGCCATCATTTTGACTGACTGATTGATGTTTCAGTGGGTTCAGAGCCATGCTCCTCTTAAAAATATTCAAGTGCCCAGCTATGTGAAAAGTTCACACTATCAAACACTCATGTCGTATTTACTTGCTTCTGTTAGTAAGAACATGCAGGCTCCATGTTTATGGTTGCTCAACAAGTTCCACTTTTCATGGGCAAAGGTTTCGGAGTTAAGAAAGAGGTTTTTCTTCCTAGCAGGCAATTAAGTTTAACATTATCAGGTTCATCAAAATTTGACAACATTTTTCTGCACCGTTTTTTGGTCTGTACAAAAATGAAACACCAACAAATATATATATAGTTGGATATAAAATGCAAGGCTCTCTATAACAACAAAAAGATTATGATGATAAGAAAGTAAGATAATACAGAAATACAAATGCAAAAGCAAAATGAAAAAAATAACACACACTATTCTAATTCCACCACCACTCAACACAGATATGTACAACACACACACTCACACATACATTGATGTGTGGTAAATGGCAGAAGATTAGAATCATATCAATGCACAAATCAAAAATATATCTCATAGTAACTATTAAATGTTATGTTATGCTGAAGTTTGAATTTTATATTCACACAGGCAGGCTCAAAGAAACCAAACATTTTGACACAACAGTCAGTGCAACAAATATGTAAATTTAATTATTCACTTGAGCGTTGAACATCTTCAAATCAAGAAATCTTTAACCAAACCACAAGAGATATTTATATAGGAAACTAAAGAACATGCTCCACATTAAATCCATTTAATATTGCTGAACATTTCAAGCCAACAGATGCCTGATAGAAGATAATAACAACAATTTTCCAGACCAAACTCTCCACTCAAATGAAATTTTACTATTATTTGAATAAGCAAAAACTTTAACTTATTTTCAACTCCACAAATATGTGAGGTTCTTATTTTGTAAAAAACATCATTGACATAGACATGGCTGACATAATGAAGAAACAGTTAAAGTAATATTTTTTATTTTATTCATTCGTTTATTTATTTATTCTAAAATAAAAAAAGAGCTAATTGAAAAGACATAAGCATTAAAAATAGAATAGAAATGTTTGCATGAGATAACTTGTGTATAGCAATCGTTATATTCTACATAGTTACAATTTAATTCATTTGAGAAATTATTAAATTTTTTATCTATTTTAATGATGTGATATAGTTAGAAGGTTTTCTTATACCATTTCTCCATTCAAACAACTGGTCAAAAAATAACTGCAAATAAAAATAACATGAAAATAAATGAGAAAAACATTTGAAATCTTGTTCATAAACACTCACAGCACAGCAAAAACAATCACCGCAAATTATCTATAATCACATGCAATCTGCCAAAATATTAACTCCTGAATAAGAAGGGGTTGATAATTAGAAATTAATTACAAGAAACATATTTGCTCATCAAACTGGTTAGAACAAACAGACGACAATAAACATCTAAACAGGAAGAAAAAACATATAAATGATATGGACAGAAAGAAAGATGCATGATTAAGTGGAGTTGGTTAATTAAATAATCCTTTAGCAGTCCCCTTTTTCAATCTGCAGAAGAACAAAAAACAAAACCCTCACATAATGTTCAGACTGTCAAATTAAATAATTGAAGTGGTGTGGATTTTACAGCTGACTGTTACAAATTTAGTTTTTTCCCAGAAAAGATGCAAAATAATTTGTATGTTCATTTTTTCTTGCATTCATTTTCAAAATAACATTTTGTCTGTGCCTAATAAGTGCCATCAAAATAAAAATTAACTTAAGATTAGAATTGAACAGATCAAACAGAATTAAGCTCATCCAAGGCAAGACAAGTTGGAGCAAAAAAATTGAGAAGATAACATTGAGAAATAAGTCACAAAAGCTATATAATAGAATAATAACAATAACAGTTATGAAATTTAATTAAAAACAGATATAATAATTTAGCAACAGTAGGTTACATCTGGCACCATCTCATGTCCAGACAGAAAGATGATGAAGTATCCACTACATTCAACGTTTTTTTTAATTTAGAGCAAAAGTGTCACAGGCAGTTTGTAAATTTCTTTTCATTAAAACATTAATTAAATCATAAATAAGCCATCCTACTGAAGGCAAGGTGGTGAAGTGTATAGATCCTGTGCCCAGATACAATATATTAGAACTTTTTGGGGATTTTAGATAAACAGGAAAACAACATTTATAAGAGAGACTTAATGTTGGAGACCTTCTTACTTAATAACAATACAAGTGCTTTGCTTATTTAATGAAACATGCATTATACATAAAGGCCACTACTTCAAAATGATAAACAAATTTAAAAAAAATTAAATAAATCTACATAATTGAAATTAAAAAACTTACCTGGAAAATTCTTAGATAATGATTTTATAACAGTGAAAAAATAATGTTGCTACATAGTTGAAAAGAAGTAAGATTTTGAAATAAAATGATAATAAGTAACTATAAAAAATGCAATGCTCATCCCATTTTTACTAAATCGCTACATTTAATTCAGTCTGAAATGTAAAAAAAATTAGTTGAAATAAACTACTTGAGTTTAGCTGCATATTCATTCTCCACCACACACCTCTCCTTAATGAACTGAGCAAATCTATCACAAAATTCAATTCCCTTGGATGTGTGGAATGCCAGGCTATCAAATTGATCCTGAAATATGTATAATCAACATTTTAAACATCCAAATTGATTCTGAAATATGTATAATCAACATTTTAAACATCAATGTTCTAATAGTTTAAAAGCTGTAATTTGATTAATCATTTATTACTAATTAATGATATACTTATACTTTTAAATGGTTTATCCAGAAAATAAAGTTTAAATAGAAATAAACCACAGTATAATATATAATATTTTTAATTTTGTGTTGTTGGTGGGTCGACAGTGAATGATGAAAAAAACTTAAAAAGAAAAGGAGGAAGCGGAGTCTGAGTATAGGAAGGCTAAGAAGGTTGCAAAACAGGCAGTGGCAACTGCAATGACGAAAGCATCAGATAGGTTAATGAAGGAAATGGAATTTGATGTAAGTTCGAGGAAAATGTTCAAAGTAGCAAAGCAGTCAATGAGGGATAGGAAAGATGTTATAGGGAATGGATGTGTTTGGGATGGATCTGGCAAGTTGTGCATAGATGAGGAGGAAAAAGCTCAGGTGTAGAAAGCTCATATGGAAAGGTTGATGAATGAAGAGAATGAGTGGGATGGAGATGTGGAATCCGCGGTCACACACGGACCTATAGAGAAGGTGACGATGGAGGAAGTAGAGAAAGCAGTTAGAGAAATGAAACTAGGTAAGGCGACAGGGGTTTCGGAAGTGGCGGCAGAACATATTAAAGCGAGTGGGGTGATAGGAATTGAAGTTATGATGAGAATTGCTAACAGTATGTTTGATGATGAAGGTATACCTGAGGATTGGCGACACAGTGTGTTGGTGCCGTTGTATAAGGGCAAAGGAGATGTGAGAGATTGTGGGTCATACAGGGGTGTGAAATTACTAGAGCACGGAATGAAGGTAGTGGAGAGGGTGCTTGAGAGGAGGTTGAGAAGTATGGTGACAGTTAATGAAATGCAGTGTGGGTTTATGCCTGGTAGGGGAACGGTGGATGCGTTGTTCATGGCGAGAATGTTGCAGGAGAATTATAGAAAGAAGAAACGAAGATTGTACATGTGTTTTGTGGATCTAGAAAAGGCTTTTGATCGAGTACCGAGGAAGGTCATTGAATGGGCGTTGAGGAAGAAAGGAGTGAATGAGAGACTTGTTAAAGCTGTGATGCAGCTGTATGAAGGGGCAAAGACAAAGGTGAGGGTTGGAAGGGGGATGTCGGACGCTTTTAGTGTTAAGGTAGGAGTGCATCAAGGATCAGTGTATCACCGTTTCTGTT